CACAAGAGCTGGAATAAAACAGAAGCCATGAGTGGGTGATATTAAGTAATCTGAAACTAGTTTATATATTTGTAAATCCATTAATTGAAGAAAAAAATGAGCTTAGTTTAGATTTTAGTATCTGAAGATGATGCGTATGAATCAGCTCAGTTCAGTCCCACTTGTGCCTGCATTATCAAAATACTAGTGAAAGAAAGACACAAGTAACCTTGAAGTAATATGCAGACTGGACCAAATCCCCACACAGAGGTACAACTGTTTAGATTGTAAAATAAGCTAAAGTTTCAATACTTCCCTCAGATTTCAACAGAAGAATGTGGTAGTTACCTATCGTCTTATTTATCATTGCATATTTCTGTGATTACAATTATTCCATTATGAATCTTTTCTTCAGTTTACAGTATATACACTGCATTGAGCTGTAGAAACTGCACTACAGATAAGTGTGTGCATAGAAACAGCTTTCTCTCTTCAGAGCTGTATGCATTTTCCAGACAAATGGATTTAGGATTTTCCTGTGAAATAGTCTCTCTTCCACCTTCTTCTCTCTTTCTAGGTGCTTCAGGAATGAGGATGGCAGTTTTAACTTAGCCAAGTCCTATAACAAAATCCTTTACATTTGGTGAGCAAGGCCAAGGACATAAGATTTCTCAGACATATTCTGTCTGGATTTTTATTAGAGCAACAACTTCTTAGAATGTAGATGATAAACACATTGGCCTGGCACATTCAGATCCAGACAGTTACCACAATTGCACTTACCCATCAAAGTATATGAATAGGGAATCTAATTAGAGAGTCTTTTTTTTAACCTTCCTGCTCTCTGTTGTAATAAGCAATTTCATTCGAGCTGTTATTCAAAGACACAAAGAGTAGTTTGGGTACCTGGCTTTAAAAAGAAAAATGGGAAATGGGAAAGGCCTTTATATACCATCATTACTTGGTATTTAAAAGGTACAAAATAAAAATAGGGATGGAATAGGTCTGAACTACTTTATCCACATGGTCATCTTGTATTAATGTTCCACCCAACAATGAAAGATTAAACTATCACTAAGAGCTTGATGGATTTGTACCACTCTCAGTACGACTTCTCTAGTTTCCAAAGATAGTGCCATTGTGAGTGATGCCACAATATCAACCAAGCCTCATTGCCCAATGAAGTGACTCAATTCTTGCCAGTAAAACCTGTTAAGAGAGACATCAAAGAGTACCTGATTTGTCCATTTTCCCATATTTCTGTTCAAGGGGGCCAATAGAGTTCCCTGAGCCATTGTTGTTGTGGAATGGAGTGAGCAACAGGCTAGGCAGGGGAAGGAAGCAGAACTGGGTCTGAAAAATATATTCCACTTAAAGGTCGAAAAGATTACTCTGTCAAACATGGGGAATAATATAATATCATCACAGATAGAAAACCCTTACTAGATCAAACAGATCCCTCTGCAAGGGCATCACAGACAGTGGTCATGCTTAAAAACTTTATAGTTTTGCCTTTGAAAGTCAATAACATTATCACAATAGGAATACATATTATGCTAATGTTAACTACTTCCAAGGACAAAATGTGCTGGGAAGAGAGGGTGGCTGGTGTCTTGCATGAGACACTCAAAACCTTACAGGAACTATTGAAAAATAATTACTTGCAATACCACAGTAATGCCGATCTCTTTTTGTTTAGTCTTATGCTAAGTAGAAACTGATGTTTAGTAATAATTCTTAACTTTTTGTAGAGCACATACATTGAAAGCTCTGTACAGATATGAACTGGTTAATCTGCAAAACACCCCTGTGAGATAGATGAGAATTATCCCCATTTTGTAGTTGGGGCAGAACAGTGAAGTGACTTGTCCTAGGCCATACGGTGAGTCAGTGGCAGAGCCAACATTAGCACGTGGGACCTCCTGCCTCCCAATCTCATGCTCATTCTTCCAGACCAGCCTGATTCAGTTACCATGGCACAGTAATGCTAATTACTTTCAAATAGTATGTGCCTACTTTTTAAATGGCATCCACCTTAGTTCCCCAACAAATTATAAGATATTGCAGTCTCTCAGCCTGATTCAATAGAACAGTATCCAGGCCATATGAGGCTCTCCAAACACCAGAAATACACAAACTACTTCAGCTCTATTCTAGTTAAATAATAAAATACAGTATAAAAATATTGCGCAATATCCAGACCTTTGTACTGTAATTAATCCTCACATGTGATACTTTAGCATGAAACCACCTGATCCTCTGCATTCATCTTAAAGGAACTATTTGAGTTCGGCCTACTTTTGGTCCTGTGGATATTTTAAAATACAAAAATGCGTGAGCAGCACTTTTCCAGGTACAATGTAAACCAGGTTCTTAGTTGTCAGGGAGCATGTCACTCGAAATGGTAGATTATTGATGGAATTGGAGAATCTGCTTAAACAAACAGTATGTGGCTTTGGATTTTCTTTGCTGTTGTATAATGCATCGAAGTAGGTAATTCTATCAAGCTCTTCTACAAAAT